TTCCAGCACTTGGGAGGCCAAGACGTGAGGATGGCTTGAGTCTGGGAGTTTGAGACCAGCCTGGGCAACATAGTGAGATCTTGCCTCTACAAAATAATAATAATAATAATAATAAGCCAAGCATGGCGGCATACATCTGTAGTCCCAGCTGCTTGGGAAGTTGAGGCTGCTGTGGGCTGTGATCATGCCACTAAACTCCAGCCTGGATGACACAGTAAACCCTTGACTCAAAAATAAACACATATTTGTTCAGCAAATGAATGAATGATTAAAGAAATGAACGTGCATCCTTCTGGCCGGGGTGACTGAGGAAGTGCCCAGTCCCAAGAGACCCTCGCCATCCACAGTACAGGAGAACATCCAACCCTGAGCTAGAACGTGGGTGGTCTGCCCTGGCGTGTCACGGGCTGGTTTTTTCTCAGGAGTAAGCAGGCAGTGGAAGAAAGCAGGATTTTGCAACAGAATCATCACAGCCAGCTTTTGACAGGGTGGCTTGGGTTTCGCGAGAACATTTGCTATGGGGACAGGTTGCTACCAGATAGTACAAAGGTCAGACATCTCCTCGGTGCAGTGGAACAGGTATGGACAGATTCTGACAGGCCTGGGTTCCACCCTTGGCTCTATCACTTACTTGCTGTGTGACGTTGGGCAAGAAGTCTGACCTCACTGCGCCTCAGTATATTCAACTGTAAAGAAGTAGTTACTTTTCCCTGTGAGGGTAGCTATGAAGATTGATGAGACAATGTCTGCAGGAGACCTAGCAGAATGTCTGGTACATAGTATGTGTCCAATAATAACACGATCTCATGAGACTGTAAGCTCCTTCAGGCAGGGGCCATGTTTGTTTTTGACTTCACAATTCAGTGTCTAGCACAGAGCCTAACACACGTAGATGCCTTAGGAAGTATTTCTTAACGATTTAATACACGGTCAAATATATCTTACTTTGGTAGGATTTTCCTCTTCCAGAAAGGATTCCCTGTGTATTAAAATTCTCCCTTCACCAAGTACTCAAACGGATTGATTTCCTTGTGGGCAACTTAAATCCCTGTGTTTTGAAATCTCAGAGCTGGAGGATTAACGTGTGTTTGTGGGGGTGGCACTGCCTTGAGTCATCCCTGAGACCCTCACTGTCCCCTGTGCTTGTAGAAGGTGGAAATTCATCAGCCCCAATTTGAATGAGAGGCTGGAGCATCCAATCAATGGAGAGAAGGATTGCTGTTTGGTTCCAATACCGTAGAGAGCACAACTGTTTCTTTGAAATTGACCTTCATTTATTTGGAGGGGAAAGCCATTAGTTCAATAATGGCTTCCTGGTGCCTTTCAGCATTTTAAAAGATGAAAGATTGGGAGCGAGGCAAGGTTCCAGTGTTTTCTAAACAATGCACTAAGCCCAGCTACTGGTTGGCAGTCTGCACTTCCTTCTCCCTGCCCCCACCCCCAGTTCCCCCCACCACCTCAGCAACACACATTCTCAGTGGCCCAGCCACTTCTGGAGACCCTGGCCTTGCCCAGGTGGGTGGAGGTTAGTCTTTATTCGAATGCCAGGCAACTGAAGATTCTCGTGGACATCTTGGGCATGGCCCATGGGGTAGGAATCCTGCTCGATTCTCTGTCCCTCCCTGGCCTGCCTCCAGAAGCCAAATAAAAAAGGTCCTTGTTTGGTGGAGTCTCTCCCTGCTCCTGAGTAAGTGAGCACTGGTCCCTGGTTCGACTTGGTCTGCTGCCACAGGGAAAGGGTGGGGAGGATGTGGGGAGTGTGTCACAGGTGGGGTGAGCACAGCAGGGGACTCTGCTGGCAGCCCAGCCCTATTCCCAAAAACAAAAATAAGGGATGAGGGTAAACAAGTGGGGCCCCTGGACGGAATTCTGGAGGGGGCACGGCTGTTTTCCCTCCTTCCCAGGAGGGATTCCAACCCTCCTCTCCCATGGAGAAAACAAACACAGCTATGGAAATATCGTGCCATCCAGGCACCTGAAAGTCTATCACCATTTGGACATGGCTCCTACCTGCCCTTCTCCGCTTGCCAACTCCTGTCTCCTCCAGGTCTGCTTTCTCCCCTTATGAGTGAAAAGCCCTTCATGGAAAATTTAGAATTTGGAACCTTCTTCAGATTCCAAAGGAGTTGTTGTGCTACATCATGCTACTTTTATTTGGGTGTTCTTTCAACTCAGAGGAAGGAGAAACCCACACCTGCATTTGCTAGAATGCTCTAAAAAATGTTACTTAAGCGCCTTCTCTGAGTGATGCTCTTGAGTACCTTTTGGAGTCCATCCTAAACCCAAGACCTGGAGTCCACATTCCTCACTTGCTGGGTGTTCAGGAAAGAAAGACACGCATGGAGCTTGCTCAGGGGTGATGCACTGGGAGGGCTCAAAGAGACCATGACACAGACAGTCAGAAGATTTTCATGGCAAGGAGGATAAACAAGCTCTGAGAGTATCAGGGTGGCAAGAGCCTCTCACCTCCTACTGCATGAAGCTGAGGACCTGGGATGCCAGGGGGACAAAGTCTCAGAAAGGCACAGAGAGAAGGGAGAGAGACAGTGGGGGTGATGTGAGTGAGAAGAAGCTGAGGGTGAATCAGTGGCTGAAAGGCAGGATTCAGAGAGAAGTCACATCATCCCACACCACGTGTGGCTGGGAAACGACTAGAGCTTTCCAGCCCTTAAAATCTTGGCATCCAAGGGAGCCAAGGGACCCTCTGGCCAGGACTTCTCAAAGTCTGGTCTGCGGACCACCTCTTCAGAATCAGCCGATGGGCTGATGAAACATGCGGATTTCTGGGATCCATTTGATTTACTGAATTCGATCCTCTGGACTGGCCCCAGGCAGCTACATTTTTATCCATTTTCCCAGGTGATGCTGATACTTATTTAAGTGAGAGATTTCTTTATCTAGTTTGGCCCCCTTGTTCTCCTGATGTGAGATCTGAAGCCCAGAGAGGTAAGGCAACAAGCCTAGAGTCACAGAGTTAATTAATGGCAGACCTCAATTGGGAACTCCATTGCTCCAGACTGCCAGAGCAGTGCTCTTCCATTTCAGCATGGTGGATACTTTCTCACCTGCTTGAGGCTGTTTCCCTTGCCCCTAAAGCCCAAGTCTGCACCTTTGATCCATTCCTGCACCCTGCTGGGGCCTTCTACTGCCTGATCATGCTCTGGTCACAGCCTCTGCAGGCTGGTGGGCCGGGACTCAATTCTCTTCTGTGCCTTTAGTAACAGGCGTGGGATTGGCAAATGAGCAGAGAAGGAAACACACAGTTATACCCCAGGGGAGAGTGGGGCTTGGTCTGTAATACTGGTAGCTAACTTCATTGAGCATTTGCTGTGTCCCAGAAACTGTAAGTTCTTCTCACGCATGAGTGCAAACCCTAGGGAGCAAATAATAATTCATCCCATTTTGCAGATGAAGAAACTGAGGCTCCCACAGGAGCTCGTGGAGGCTCACTACCCAAGGTCATGCAGCTAATAAGAGGTCAGATCACTTCCATGTACAGCCATGGTCTTTGTAATGGCCAATGCAATGTGAACCGACATCTACTGCTAAGCCTGCAAAAGCACTCTGAGGTCTTGGAGAAGAAAGGTAAGCTTCTCTGCAGTGGGAGGTGATCACTCCTGGGGGTAGAACTTCAAACCTTTCCACTTAACGCTAACCATGGAAAATATTTCTGATAGGCTTTAGCCTGCAAGCCTGCCTTAGAAAAGACATGGAGAATAGATTAGACAGGTTTTTTCCCCTTTATCTCTTTCTTTTTAAACGGAAACTCTGAATACCAATTTGCTTCCTTTCCATCTGCCTTTTTCTCTTGAAAGCAGAGTATCTTCAGGATTTCTAGTTGCTTGAGGGCTTTGATTATACTTGGTTCTGACTGAGACCCTGGTGTGACCGCAGGCATATGTGGCCCGTGGCATGTGGCAGCTGTTAGCGCTCCTGAAATCATGGCGTATGACGGTGCCATGATCACCTCCCCTCCATTCATCTTTTGTAGTGTTGTCCAGAGAGAGGGGAAGAAATTGAAGCAGATCAGCACCCAAGGGAAGGACAAGGGTTTCCAAGTCAGGTGGACAGCATGTCACAGGTACCCTTACATAGGTTTACTTAACCGGACCCGGCTTCTTCCTTAGAAAAAAATTCAGGTAGCCCTTTGAACAATCCAGTGAGTAGGACCACCCAACAAAAAGAAGATGGACACATTTTTATAAGAAGGAAAGCATGCACTGAATTCCATCTTACCAGGATTTGGTGAATGACAGCTAAAGGGGAGGGATAACTCTCATTTAATTCTGAACATTCCACAAATCACCAGAGTTAGGTATATTTCGGGGTGAAAACTGAAAACGTGTGACCCTCTGGTCATCTTCTTTTTCAAATCTCAAGCTTTCAATAACTTAAAGGCTGGTAAGGGCCAGGGCTGTTAAATGCCCTTGTTAACTGGTCATGGACATAGTGCACTGAGGTGATAGCCGCCCGTGAAGGCAGGAGGGGGAGAACACAGCCTCTGCAAAGCTCCTGAGAAGCGTGGCCTCTGCAAGCGCCCTGAAATGCTGAATGAACACCGCCTTTCTGTGTACGAGCTGCCTCCCTGCTTCCCCAACGCTGCGTCTGCAGTAACTACAAACTATTTTGTATGCTGCATTAGTGACGCTGCCTTAGCCGACACATCATTACTACTGAAATAACGCCAGTGTGCTATTCAAGCCCAGTGTCCTTTTTAATTATTAAACCGAGGCTGTTGAGTGAGTCATCCCACATACCAGATTCGTCTTCCGTGGTTCTATTTCTAGCGGCTAGTACCTTCGCGTGTTCCACTAACACCTGAGTTGGTTCTTAGCCAGCTCTCCAATCTGCAAAGCCTTTGCAGAACAAACAATATTATCCGCTCTCCAAATACACTCAGACGGCATAAGAAACGAACCTCACGGAAAACTTTAGAGTAAGCTCATCTCGAACCCGAGATCTGCAAATGCCCAGTTGCCCTGGGCCGGTCTCCAACTTACCAAGCGGTAGTGCAATGAAGAAGGGTAGCCAGCACAGGATGAACATACCGACCACAATGCCCAAGGTCTTGGCAGCTTTCTTTTCCCTGGAGAACTTAAAAAGTTTGACAGCTATGGAACTCCTGGGGTTGTGGCCCTTGGCCTTGGTGCTGCTGAGGGTGTCCTCGTGAAAGTTCTTCGAGTGGATCCTCAGGGTCAGCTCCTTGGAGTTGGACATCTCCTTCATGACGCCCGCCTCCAGGTTCTTGGTGGTCCTCTTGGCCACGATATAGACACGGCAGTACATGACCAGAATGACCGCCAGGGGGATGTAGAAGGAGCCCAGGGAGGAGAAGAGGGCGTAGAAGGGTTCTTCGGTGACCCCACACTCCTTGTCATCGTTGGGCGCCGGCTCCTTCCACCCGAGGAGAGGCCCGATGGAGATGACCGTGGACAGCACCCAGACGCTGAGGAGCGCCAAGATGGCCTTGCGCCGGGTGACCAGCGCGGGGTACTGCAGAGAGTAGCGCACCCCGATGTAGCGATCGATGGAGATGGCGCACAGGCTCAGGATGGACGCGGTGCAGCACAGGACGTCCACGGCCGCCCAGATGTCGCAGAAGATCCGCCCCAGCACCCAGTAGCCCAGCACCTCCAGGGCAGCGGAGAAGGGGAGCACGGTGAAGCTCAGCAGCAGGTCGGCGATGGCCAGGTTGACGATGAAGTAGTTGGTGGGTGTCCGCAGGTGCCGGTTGCAGGCCACAGACAGGATGACCAGGATGTTGCCCACGATGGCAAAGAGGATGAAGGCGCCCAGCACCAGGCCCACGGAGATGGCCCTGGTGACGTCCAGCTGGGGCAGTGTGGAGTTGCTCGAGGTCTGGTTGGGGCCAGTGAAGTTGGCATCTTTCAACTCTCCCCAGTGGGCAGGTGCTGATGTGTTGTGGCCGGGGTCCAGGTCGGGATTCATCTTAGAGTCCGCCCTCCATAGCCAGGGGCTGATTGCGCTCGGAAGGGCTGCGGCCGGGGCTCTCAGCTGCCCTGAAACTTTGCCTCCCCCGTGGTCTTCTTCTTGCCCGAGGCGCCCTCCCGGCGAGGCGTCATGTCCCCGGCAGCCCGGCCCGGCCGCAGGGCTCCTGCCTGCACCGCGCGGC